GCAATATAATTAAATTAAACCGTGCCCTAACCGTTCTAAACCCGAGACAAGTCTATAAGTACCCACGTACAAATCCAATTCACATCACAGCCCATTCCACCTACCCACAAATCCGTCATTCACGCCTACCACATACGAACATCAAGCCCACCCACGAATGCCACAACAATATTATCAATTAGCCCACCATAATTAGTCATTAATTAAGCCCCACAATTCTCACAATTTAATCTATTAATTACGCATGCACAAAAATTGCCCACAGACCACGTTTAGCCCCTAAACCGATACTAATTATCCCCTAGACAAGTCTAATAATACCCAATGTACTAGGTAAGGTTTAGGAAGTCACTTACTTGGTTTTGGCTCGGAGAAAATCGGCTCGGGCCTAAAATGGCCCGGGTGAACAAGGCTTGAACTAGGCGCGGGCATGGGTCAACGGGCGCGGTGGCCGGCCAACGCGGGCACAATGGCCGGACGGCGCGCCTGGCGCGCGGGCGCGGTGGCCGAACGGCATGCCCTGGCGCACGGCGAGTTGAACGGGCGAGGTGCCCGGGCTGAACGGGCAAGGCGCCGGGCCATGGCCGGGCGACGCGCCTGGTCGGACGGGCACGGCGCCGGCAAGCTCGGCCACGGCCCGGGACGCTCGACCGGCGAGCTCGAGCACGGCCGGGCACGCCACGGCGAGTTGCTCCGGCGGGTGGCTGGCCGGCAAGCCGGGCTGGCCGGGACGACGGCCGGACGGCGACGGAGGCGAGCTACGGCGGCGGCAGCAGCTGGCCTACGGCCGGGCGAGCTCGGGCAAGCTGGCCGGCGAGCCGGGCTAGCTGACCGGCTGGCCGGGCCTGGTTGGCTGGCCGGCGAGGCGACACGACGGCGGCAACGGAGACTGTAGGGGAGAGGAAGAAAGCAGAGCCGAGCTCGCGCGCTCGGGAGGGGGAGGAAGGCAGCGCTGGGCGGAGCCGCTGGCGACGCGGCGGCTCGACGACGGCGAGAGGAGGACGGCGGCGACGGCGACCGGCGGGGCTGCTGGCTGGGCGGAGGCGGCGGTGGCGGCCGAGCTGGCCGGAGGCGGGGAGGAGTCATGCGGAGGTGGACGGGAGTCTGGGGGAGAGAGGAGCGACCGGGCGACGGGGCGACCGACGGGACTGCTGGCGGTTGGCGAGCGGCGGCGCAGCTCGGTCGGAGCGACGGCGGCGCGAGGCGGTCGGGCGGAGGAAGAAGCAGAAGCAGAAGCAAGGGTCGGGGGCAGAAGAGACGAAGAAGAAGAGGAAGGGAAGAGGGAGAAAAGAAAAAGAAAAAGAAAAGAAAAGAGGAGAGAGAAGGAGGAGACGTGAGCGGAAAAGAAGGGAGAGGGGACGTCTGCATGCATGGGCAGACATGCGCAGGCGCGGCAGAAGGAGGAGAGAGAGAGAGAGAGAGAGAGAGAGAGAGAGAGAGAGCAATGATCGCGATCCAACGGTCACGATTCGAACCCGAAAACTATCCCACGGTCCACAAAAATCCTAATTATAATTTAGGAAAAAGGGCCAAAAGAAAATAACCCAAAACACACTACGAGGGAGGTCTATTAGTCCAAATTCGCACCCGGTCAAAAACTCCCATTTTTCCATTATTCCTGACAATCTCAACGCTAGCTACGATAATATTGACACCATCCAATTTATTTCGTCCTGAAACTCCCGAAAATCGACTGCCAAGTTCGAGGTCTAAATAACGGCCAAATTCGATCGAATGCGATTCTAGCGAAATCTCAAGATTTAAAAATAATAACCGGGAGTGATCAGTTCCCGGGCGAGATTTTTACTATAAGCGCACTGACGAAATACCCGTTTTATAAATCCCAAAAATGGGCCAAAATTCGGAATGTCACACCTCCCCTCCTTCACTGCCCGAATTTCACTTGTTGTGGGCCCTTGTCCATGCGACTAATTCAGGTCCATTTACTATTGCCGGTCCAATTAAAATACAATGAATTAAATTGCTCCTTAAAACTATATGCTATGCAATTTAATTTTAATAATTTTTTTAGGGGTTAAAAATTATCCCCAATTTTCTATGCAATTAATTCTAAATGGTTGGCTAAAATTTAGGTGTCAACATCACTTAAGTCAACTGGGCGCGCCATGTCAACACCATTTACCTTTCGACGTCCATGTAAGCAGATTTTTAATAGTGCTCATTGATAGAACCCTGACGGAAGGTAAATATGTCACACAAGTACATGTTTGGGATTTTTGGTGTCACTGAAAAAAGTTTAGGGTAAATGTATCACAGTAAGCATAGTTTGGGGTTTTTGGTGGCTTTTTTCCTTATAAATATTACAATTTATAAGTTTTCTCTACTTTTTTACTTTATTAACTTCCGGTTTTTTATTGTGCTAATTTACTTTTTTAATTTGATATGAAATTTTTCAGTAGCATGACACATGAAGAGCTTAAAGTGGGTTATATATGTGAGTACAAGTTTTCTTAGGTTGGATTAAATATGGATGTATTTTAGTAAAATGGATCGGGTCGCATGTGGATCGGATATGGCTTGGGCCGGCTTTGGATCACTAAATTTGTATTGCATATGAATGGATTGAAATGGGTTAAATAGGTTAAGTTTTTTTTTTTTTTGGGGGTCATAAACTAGTATATTTATTTAATCATAAGAAGTTTGTGGATACATTCCATGGGCGTCAAAACATAGTAAATCCCAAAGACCCGGAGGAGGATAAAGAACCCAATTACTCGGTAAGCTATTTCTCCTTTGGGCTTTAGCGACCCAATTAACCACCCTATTTGCTTCTTTACTGATATGGGCCAAATTTAGCTTCAAATAGGGCTTGCACAGCTGTTGGGCTTCGCTGATAAGCAGAGGGAGTTCCCAACTGATTTATTGAAATTATGTCTTGAGTTTGAATCCGAAGCAAAAATCTACATTAAAAAAAAAAGAATTCAAGGCCAAGTTTCGGAAATTAGCTTTCCGAATGAAGATGGAATCTATGGCTTGAAATAGGAAAGTCCATCAGAACGGCCAACGTGGACATTGAGATAGACATTGACTCGGTCAACAATGGATCAGAGAAAGAAGAAATAAAATATATGGAATTATTCTTTGCTTTAATGCAGGAGATTAGGAAATTGAGGAAAGTCCAACTTGGACTTTGGGTTGACCGTGTCTCAGTGATTTGTATTCCTAATTGAATTCGGCCAATGGACGTCCCTTCGGAAATATATACTTGAACTAGGCCAGCAGATTACGGAGCAGTGAAGCACCGTTCAAACGAGCGCTTGGCAGTCGTGGGTCTTTCTTCGGAAAATTACATCCAAGAATTCGAGTGTTCAAGTCGTGAAAATCTTGTGTAAGATTTGTGTATAATTTTTTCGTGAGATTGAGAGATTATTTCGCGAGGAATTGTGGGTCTAAACACTACGTGAGTTATTGGGTGTAATTGGGGTTTGAAAAACACACTGGGGCTAAACATTGCGTGAGTTATTAGGTGTAGTTGGGGCTTAGGAAACATTTAGAGTGTTTACGTAACTCGAGTGTGGTTGTAATCTCCGTTGTATCGCTTGATCTATAGTGGAATTTCGCCCTGCTCTCCCCATGGACATAGGTTACTACGACCGAACCACGTAAATCTGGTATCTGATTTATTTTCTTATTTTGTCAATTTTATTGTTCAATCGCTTGGCTTGTGCTTAATCTGTGAGTCCACTCATCAAATCCAACTGATCTGTTTCAATCTCCAGCTCTTCTCCCGATCGAACGACAAAGTACTTTAGGGTTTGGACCAAGGCTGTCGCTTCTGCCATTGCCGCTGATGAAGCTTTGATCGATCGAGCGAACCCGTCCACTAAGCATCCATTGTGGTCTCTACATATAGCAGCAATAGTTCCTTCGCTCGTTCCTTCCAGATAAGCACCGTCAATGTTGATTTTTAGCTTTCCTCTCTCCGGTGGTCGCCACTGCTGAGAAGCAATTGCTGATAAAGCTTCTTCTTATTTCTTCCCAGGAAGCCATCTTGTGCAATTTCGAAGTAATGAGTGAGCATTCTCCACTGTACGCTCGGGATCTATTTGAAACTAAATAGGTTAAATTGGGTCAGACCATTTTCGATACTATTCAACCCACCCATTTGATGGCATTGGTGACAGTTAACATGTTACCACTTTTTACGGTATCGACTCTTCAGGCTTAAATTCTGAATGAAAGCCAACAAGCGATAAACACATGAAGCGATGAGTTGGGGACGAAGTCCCCACTCCACACATTCATAAATTTTCATTTCTGAGAAATGGGAAACTACAGTTATGACTAAGTTGGGTCAAGCCGACACTGTCTTATCATCTGACTTCAAGTTGAATATATTGGATTGGATACTCTTTTTAAATCAATTCCAGCTCGACGGAGGTTGATTTTGCACATGTTTAGTCAATGCGGGTTGCGAATTCAGATTCGTGCTTGTCGTTTTCACCATGTCATACAACATAAAATCCAAATCTACTAATTATAGGAAGCAGATTCTAGCGACAGAGACCTGATGACCAACTTTCAAGGAAGACCCCAGAATCAAAGTTTCAGACCAAGGAGTGGTTTACAGCTTTGACAGTCAAAAAGCAACATGTCCTCATTTCGACAAAATTTAACCTTTTTACCGTTTCTCATGCCGCCAATAAATGCACTAGCATTTGACTCAAAGGCTTCGTGTTAGTGGATAATGGATCCCACCAATAAAACCTCACAAATCATCCTACAACAAGAGGAGAAAGTATGAGAAACGCATTCATTTTCCCAAACCCAGTATTTTTTACGGTGTGATTGACTTGATTCAATAGAATAAGTCTCATCATGATTTTGATTCTATGGAGTGCATCATTCGATGTCGCATCGGATATGAATGGTCAAGTTATTATGATCTTGAGTATTTCTTTTGAGAGTGCAATTCACGTGGATCAAATCAAGTAGGCACGTGGATACTTTGGGTAATATTGTAAGCTGGACATCATGCAGAGATTTGACCATTGTAGACCCAAGTGAATTATTTTGCAGCTTATAATACAATTTGCGTATAGTGCTCAACCTTTTGACTAGCAGTAGCTAGTCTAGCTTACGGACTTGCTATGCGATTACACTTGTGCTAATATCTAAGTCGAGAGCGAGAGGCTCGACCACTGCAGATAGAATTTGCCGCCGGATATCGCCATCCTGGACACCAAACCCATCTCCAAACTGGTAAAGCATATGAGCAACACGAGCCGCGTTCACGGTGACATCAATGAAGGGTCGGACAGACGGCGTCTGGGCATTGCCGAAGAAATGAGCATTAATGCTTTTCCATGCTCCGTTTATCAATTCCTTGATGTGCTTCCTAGCGACATCTTCCGGAACATTCGCTTCCCGCATGTAACACGCCACTGCTGATGGAGCATCTCCTCTGTCTCTTTCAGCCTAATTGAACAAGTAAATCAATTTAATGTGTTTATCAGATTCGATTTTCTTGATTTCATTACACCACATGTCGTGTTAGTACAAGATTTTTCCGCGAGCTAAGAATTTGTAACATCATGTAAAATTCAGTTGGTTTATAACTTCTGCACAGAAGTTTGATAATTACCGTTGACGTTCCAAGGTCGTTGCACAGTCGAATTATCATGGACACATTGTAAATCAGATCCTTGTTTCTCTCTAGCAAATCTGCTACATCCTCCAATTTCATATGTCCCACAAAGAAATAAGCGTGAGACAAGATCAGTGGTCCTGAAGCTGATGTCCATGCATTGCTCAAATACTCTTCCAACGATGGTGTGTAGCCCAATTTGTCCCACTTTGCTTCAGTAAGTAATGCTTTGCAAAAGTCTGCCCACTGGGAAAAAAAAAATACTTAATCAGAGATGATCAATTATGAAGGACAAAATTAATTAGGGTGACATATGCATGTATATGCAATAATCCACAAGTTTTTTGCTTACGCCTTTCGTGAGATGTGGTAGCACTCGATGCCAATCTTCATCCTTGCCAATATCATAAGCGATCTCGTGATTAACATCATGAAGCGCTCGGAAACAGACCTTCATGCACTCGGGAAGCTGTTGAATCTGCTCCGAGTCCCATCTAGAAGCATCAGATTTTCCAGTTAGCGAAAATAAACTCAACAGAGACAAAAGGAAGAGATTGGGAGGCATCGTGGCCAACCTGGTAATGGCGCCGGTGAAGCATTCTAGCTCCTCCAATGAACCATAAAGGTCGTAGACATCGTCGATCACCAGTATCAAGATGATGACTTTGGTGAGAGATTTGCGAAGCGAGCTGAACCGTCGTTCCTGAGAGAGTCCAAGGGCACACAAGAAACTCTCAACCAGCCGATCCCTCGTGAAGTCCACATGCTCGATAAGTCCCAGATCCCTCCACCACCTGAATTTTCCGAAGCAACTAATCAGAATCAAAAGCCAGGAAAATCACGTCATATCTGGTACAGATATCTTCAAAATAGGCACATTCCCAGGATGAATTTAGGCCATATATATCATGACTGAGTTCGTCGTGTTTTAATCCTGACATGAGTCGAAGATAGAACATGACATCTTTTAAACAAATGACCTTGTTTGAATGAGTCGCTGCATTTTCTACATCATTTGTGAATTCTCTTAAAATTACCTGGATATCTCTCTAAGATCTCTTTGATGTGTGGCTTGAACCGTGTTAAAATTGAGCTTGGCAAGCTCAAGCAGATTACTTTGCTTGTCCTCCTGTTGCTCGTGCATGTCGATTTGTGATTTGATGTCAAACCACTGGACCCTCCAGTGCATCGAAAGCTCCAAACCATGGACGGCGCGTTTCAAGAGCTGACCGTCCAAACCGGAGACTCTCTCTTGGAGAATCCCAGTTGAGAAGGCTTTCGCTTCATCCAAAATGTTTTCGCCTTCCAAAGCCAGATGTGAAGCCTCAAGAAGCTCTATCATAGCTTCAACATCTTTGCAATTGCTTATGTTGAATGCGTTGCTTCCTTCTTTGAAGAGCCTTAATTCATCTGATTACAAAATGAAAGTCGAAGATTTATGACCGGACAGAACCGAGAATAATTGCTGATAATACTAACCATACTCACTATTACTCAATATTATAACTACAATGACTGATGACTCAGAAGATACCATTGTAAAGGAGTGAAAACGACATATAACTTTGAGTGGCTTGTATGCATCCAATGTCATAGTACCTCTTTGTGGACGAAACTTTCTTCACCGTCTAGTCCACAGATAAATTTTCTTTTATAGTCCTTTCTCAAGAGTTATGAAGCGTTTTTCAGTAGAACCAAGTCTAGATAGGTATGTCGATTGCAAGACATTTCCAGTATGGTGAACTAAAAATTCAATTGTAATCTCAACAAGTGATATAGAAGCTGATGGGTGTCAACTTTTCAATGATATCTCCAGAAAGAATTTCATAAATCATAGAATTTAGGTGAGGCTCGTCATCACATTAATAACGAGTGGAAAATCACATCAAGTTTTGTCAATACATATTTGGAGCTGTTGATGTCTATGATTTAGACTAATTGCTCATGCAATCTCTCCATTAACTGATTAACAGTAATTCTAAGGATATTAGGACCGGTATGGAAGGAACCAACTTTATAGAGTAATCTTTAGTAGCTATAGGATTATTTATTGTTTTATTTGATTTCTGTTGTGATCTGATAGTAACATCTCAGACGAAGGAAATCACACACATCCATATTTAGAACTTTACCTTGCGAAACGACATGGCCATGCTGTCTAAGGAGTCTACACCGAAGTGCACTGGCATAGAGATGATCTTCCATGGTGAAAACGCCGTTGTTGATGGATGCAAGTGTTTCAAGAGCTTCTTTTATTTCATTCTCAAAAAGGTTGGACAACCCCAGTTTTGTCATGCTGTCAATTAACTCTAACTTGGCGAGTGAATCGACCTCTTCCGATAACATTGGCTTTACTTCCTCCACGAGCCGTTCCACCCGTTCTTTAATTCCGTCTTTCTGCAGGATTGAGTTGAATTCGTTAGATCGAAATCTACCTTGAAAAGTCCTCAAATAATTCAATCTATAGAGCAATGCCAAGATGTTTTGATTTTAGTACATACATATGTAGAGCTATATGAATTGGTTTTATACATTATATGTTAGTTATAGATCAAGTCTGGCTGTGATGGCCGATATATATGATAACATTGACCAAAACTTTAACAATGCTAGCTACATTTAATAGGTAATATCATGAATTGTGATGTTACAAATCAATTTGGAGCAAAATACTATTTCAAACATCAATCTCATGTGCAAATACTTGCGTGCTTGCATGCCAATGTCCGTTCGCTCGTGTGAGGAAGAGAGATGGCTAGAATCAAAGAGGACAATAAAAAAAAAGAACAAGGTCAATAATTAACGACCAAATTAGCTCAAACTCATTAGTGCGGAAGGTACAAATTATAATCTTACGTGGTCGTGTTTGCTGTTAAGCGACTGGAGGAAATCGTATTTCCAAATGTTAGGCTTATAATTGGCCGATCTTCTTTGATGCATCGTGTCCACGACTTCCGGCAAATTCGCTTGGCATGTTTGGAACTGGGTTTGTTCTGCGGTGTACTCCATGACGGGTGAGTGAAAGTTGAGAAGATTGGTCAGATCACGAATTTGTACAAGTTTTATGATGGAATGAGTGCGAGTTTCGTTGAGCACAATCCTTCGATTTATATAGGCGAGTCCGAGTCCGAGTGTGAGTGTCGATGGGGCTTGAGAGTGACTGTTAAACTAGCGAATATCCCCTACCACACGTATTTATCACGTTGAAAACACGACACGACCTCATAAAACCAAACCTTAGAGGCCAGTTAAGGTTGGGCCAAACAAAACTAGATGAATCTATAAATGCCCAACCGGCAAAACGCAATAGGTTGTGGAAAGTTTTTGTGTAGGATCCCCACACTCTATGGTGTTACAAGTTAGGCAATTAATCATCGTTTGTGTGATGAATATGTCTCAAGATTGAAATCATTGAACGAAACCCGAGTTCGTATTGGAGTCCGTCTTGCGGGTTTAATATAAGTTTTCTAAAAAGGGTTTTTCTGGCTTTGTGCCTTGGTGTGTGCCAAGAACGTGTAGAAAAATTTTTCGGGATAATTACAAAAAAAAAATTCTTAAACCTATTGTATTTGCGCTAATTCAGTTATAAATCTTTCAATTATGTCAATTTAGTCCTAAACCCTTTACAGTTTTGCTAATTGAGTCCATCTGGCTAATTTTAGCCAAAAAACACTGACGTAGACGTCGGCCATCCTACGTGGCACGACTAGCGCTGACGTGAACATTTTTTAATAATATTTTAATAATTTTTTCAATTTTCTTTCTTCTTTCATTTCTTTCTTTTTTCCTTCCTTTTTTTTTTTTCACAGTGGCGAGCAAGGGTCGCCGAAACTCGCCGAACACTAGGCGAGAAACGTGAAGCCCTCGCTAGCCACCGGCAAGGGTCACGGCCCTCACCCGGCCTCGCCCAGATCTAACGAGACCGGATATAGCTTCATGGCCGGCAAATCACCATCTCGACTGTACAAATCATTCTCGTAATCGCAAACGCCGAAGACAACACCATCGTCTCCATTGCTAGCGATCCGATTCGTGGCGTTACCACCACCAGAGAACAGAAACTCATCGCATGGTTCACGTTCTGCCTCTCTTCGCCATCCGATACCATCCAAAACAATTGCGAATCAAGGAAAGATCGAATGAGCAGACAAGCATATGGCAACGTCCAAGTCAATGACCAAAAAAGAGAAAAGGAGCAGAAAAACTTCACGAATGTGCAAAGCGGACAATGGCGAAACCGGAAACGAATTCGAGGTTCGATCTCGATGGCAGAGAGAGAGAGAATGCAATCACAAGAGGACAACTTTGGGGGAAGATGGAAACCCTAGATTGGAGCACAAGGTAGAGAGAGAGGTGATGATTATATCTTTTGGTTTCACTTTCGCCCAGATCTGCCCAGACCATCATGAGGCGCGGCCACGAGCGAAGGCGACCATGGCCTTACCAGCCGTGGGCGAGGTCGCCTTAGCTCGCGGCCGGCGAGACCATGGCAAGGCTAGCCTTGCCTAGATTTGGGCGAGGCCATGCGAGGCACCCCAGCTGGCGAGCGCTTCGTGGCCCTAGCCTTGCTCCGGTTACACTCACTAGTCACAGTAGGCTAAAAAAAAAGGAAGGAAAAGAAAAGGAACAGAAAAGAAAAATTAAAAAATTATTAAAAGATTCCAAAAATTATAAAAAATATTATTAAAAATTATTCATGTCAATACAGTTATGCCATATAGGACAACCAACGTCCACGAATTACTGGCCAAAATTGGCCGAATGGACTCAATTGGCAAAACATGAAAATGTTTAAAATTAAATTAGCACAATTGAATGGTTTAAAACTGAATTGGCACAAATGCAATAGGTTTAGGATTTTTTGGGTAATTTTTCCAAAATTCTTCTCATGAGTTTTGTTGACTTTGCACCTAAATTGAAGAAACCTTTTGTCACGAGATTAACTTTGTAAAATTGAGAAATTGTTTTGTTAACAATTGTGAGAGCTAAACACTATACCAATTACTGGAAACATTCGAGTAATTTGAATCTATTCGTAATACCCGTTAAATTGCTTGATCTATAATGAAATATTGTGCTTCTCTTCTTGGAGTAGTTCACACGCACCGAACTATGTAAATCTAGTGTCTAGTTTACTTTTCTATTTTCTAGTTTATTATTGTCGAATGACATGTTTTTTCGCAACAAATTGCACTTGTTCGGTCGTTAATTTCTTGGCGTGATTCAATATGAGACTGGTAGAGGATCCGTGCGTTCCACAAAATTTGAAAAATTAGTTTCTATGCTTTTCTCTATGAAATTACATGCCAAATTTGTTGTGATTTCCGTGACTATGTTCCCTTTGGTTGAATTATTCATTTTCTTTAATCTAAATTTTCTTGCATATAAAAATAAGGAATAAGTGCATTGGAAGTTCTAAAACTTGTCATGAAAATGCAATTGAGTCTTAAAATTTTCAAAAAGTACAATTAAGTCCTAAAATTTATCTCGAAAGTGCAATCTAGTTCTAAAACTATCAAAAAGTGCAAAGAAGTCCTAAAAATTGTCAATTTGATTCAATTAAGTCCTTCTATTGATTGCATTTTTTGAAAATTTGAAGACTCGATTGCACTTTCGTGATAAGTTTTAGGACTTGATTGTACTTTTTGAAAGTTTTAGGACTCAATTGCATTTTTGTGACAAGTTTTAGAATTTGCAATATACTTATTCCTAAAAATAACAAGTTATCTTTCACATACAAGTATATATGGATTTTCTTCGCAATGAATTATTATGTATAAATGGAAATAATGATTTTTTTTTGCTCATTGATTATGCTAAACTTAGAAGGCTATAAGGTTAGTTAAACCTCATTAGGCTAAATGAACAAGATGAATAAATGCCCAAAACTAAAAAATATGGGGGACAAAGTCACATGTCGATAATAATTTTCAACGAGGACTGACCATCCTGACGTGTCTATGCTCTTTTCAACCTAATACGAGCAACGTAAGTCACATGTCTACAGTGATGTTTCACTCGATGGATAACGATTTGAGTCGACGACGACGTGTTGACCATGGACATACGTAATTAGAGCAAATAGCAAGAGAATTCTATCCCGTAATTTCTCTCTCCATGAGTACAACCATTTGGGGTGGTCGATGATCAATTGTCTCGACTGGGAAATTTAAAGCATTGCGAAAGTGATGGGAATCTCTATGATCAAAACATGATCGCGATATCACTTACTTACGGGATTATGAAGGGAAAATTGTCAAATCAGTCCTAAACCTATTGTACGGCGGCCAATTCAGTCCTAAACCTTTTAATTTTGCCAATTCAGTCCTAAACCTTTTAAATTCTTGCCAATTAAGTCCTTCCGACCAATTTTGACCGGCCGGCGCTGACGTGGCCGCCGGCCGTCCGGTCAACGCTGACGTGATAATTTTTAATTATTTTTTTTCAATTTTTTAATCTTTTTTTTTCTTTTTCTTCTTTTTTTTTCTGCTATCTCCCCTCTGGCCGGTCCGGTGACCGGCGGCCGGCCAGAGGGGAGGGCCGGCGAGGCCTCTGGCAAAGCTTGCCCCGCCGGCCACCGACGAGGGTGAGGGCGAGCCTCGCTGGCCCCTGGCTGGGCGAGGAGAGGTCGGCCTCGCCACGCCGTCACAACCCAGGCGACGGCGAGGCTCGACCTCACCTCACCTCGCCTCGCCGTCGCCTGGGTCGTGACTGCGAGGTCGACCCTCGCCGTCGCCTCGGGTCGCGACGGCAAGGTCGACCTCGCCGGATCTGGGCGAGGCTCGACCTCGCCGTCGCGATCCGAGCGACGGCGAGGCTAGGCGAGGCGAGGTCGAGCCTCGCCATCGCCCGGGTCGCGACGGCAAGGCTCGACCTCGCCTCGCCTCGCCTCGCCCTCGCTCGGGGCCGGCGAGGCTCTCCCTCGCAGGTGGCCGGCGGGGCAAGCTTCGCCAGAGGCCTCGCCGGCCCTCCCCTCTGGCCGGCCGCCGGACCGGCCAGAGGGGAGACAGCAGAAAAAAAAAAAAGAAGAAAAAGATTAAAAAAGAATAAAAATTGAAAAAAAAAATTAAAAATTGCCACGTCAGCGCCGGCCGGCCAAAATTGGCCGGAAGGACTCAATTGGCAAGAATTTAAAAGGTTTAGGACTGAATTGGCAAACTTAAAAGGTTTAAGACTGAATTGGCCGCCGTATAATAGGTTTAGGACTGATTTGACAATTTCCCCGGATTATGAATGAGCCTTTATGTGCGCGCCGCCTCCCTCAAGGTAAGAGCTTTATCTTTTCAATTCGACAGATGATGACACAGTCTTTGAGCAACGTTCCAACTTAGATTTATTTCATGTGTATGGTTCCTCATTCGTTGATTCACTTGCTGTTTCCATTACGATCTTCATTTGAAAGGAGGTGTCAATTCTGTTGAGGTGTGCTTCATACTCTCTATCGACAAGAATCCCTCCGACTACCAGTAGGCTTTTATAGTTTGTGCATGTATTTTATTGATAGTTTAGGCTTTGGCCCATGAGTAGCTATTGCCGATATATAATCTATTTATCTTATAATCGAGTGTTGTGATAGAAAAGTGGAAAGTGCTAATTATATAGTGAAATCATCTGCTGGATGTAATCCTAGTTGAAGGGTGAACCGGGATATATATTGTATCTCGATTTCTCTTTCTCGTATTTACTTTCGATTTCGTTGTATTTATGTGCTTAATCCTAACAGAGTCCACTTTCTCTCATACCCTTTGTTCCCCATCATTTCATCATTTGAGATATGACATTAATTTATGTTTTGAACGTCTCCAAGACACAAAACGTGGAATCATTTTCAATTCTTTCCAAATTTCTCAAAGTTTTTCCCCATAAATTTGGATGCACAATAGAAACTAACATTCTAAACGATAAAAGCGAACGTGCTCATTCTTAGAATAAACGGTTATGCACTTAATCTCGAAGGTATGCCAAAAACTTTGGAAAGAGTTCGCGAGTCACGTGGGAGTGTCGGTGCTGTCGTGTCCTGCTGAACTGGAGCCACAGAAAAGTCATCCTAGAAGTGTGAGAGAAATGTGCCACTGTTTTCATGAGCGCTTC